GTGTCAGATGTCGTGATCATTTGGCCCTTTCGTCCTTCGTTAGACTCTCTCTCCCCAAGCTTGTTTCTTTTTCTTAAAATAACTGTTAGTGCAATCATTGGCATTTCCAAAATATCTATTGTACACATTTTAAAACATTTGTGGAGTATTCATAATTAATATTACTAAGGTTTGCTAGCTTAGAGAATTTTTAGTTTATGTTTTTTATTTGTTTTCATGAAAAAGTATAGAAGTATTTTCAACGAGAATTTTTTTTCTGTATTGCGAATGTGGACAGTTATGTTGTAAATATTTAGAAATGTTGGACGTATTATTCAAATGAAAACAGCTGTCGAGACAATGTTGTTGTAGTGTGTTTTTCCTATTTATTTCGTAAAAAAATCTCGACAGCCTTACCTAGCTATCCCACATTAAACAGTGTCAGGGATGACGCAACTGACTCGACACGTAAGAAATTTAACTTTCAGATGAACAGTACAATTTTGTCTCCGACAATAATGAGCACTAGAATATTTGTCTTGTAATAACCAATACGTTGATGATGACATTATGATATGTCGAAAGTACTCGAAATAAAAGAAATAAATACCAACGGGGCGATTTTCTGCGGTCCTTCAATAACAACACCAAAAAGCTTATTCGTGAATAATATGAAAGGATCCAACTAAAAATATGTAGACAGAACATGTCCAAATTATTCAACAAAACATTTCTCAGAGTATATATATATATATATATATATATATATATATATATATATATATATATATAATAAAAAGGCTTAAACACTAATATTCCATGGTCATAATTTATTCATTTGGAATCGTAAATACGATCAAATCATCAGACCTACAAATTCAAAAAAAAAAAAAAATTTGATTTTTTTTTTGGAATTTGTAGGTCTGATGATTTGATCGTATTTACGATTCCAATGGAATAAATTATGACCATGGAATATTAGTGTTTAAACCTTTTATTATATCCTTACTCTGTCCTAGACATTGAGTTCTACCTGGATTCTTCCTCTTGGAAAATTTTTTTCTGAAAATATACATGTATGGGTATTTTTATATATATTTTGCATATTTATGTATATTTTCCACTAATATTATCTATACATATATATATATATATATATATATATATATATATATATATATATATTTATAAGTAATGAAAAAGTTTGGTAATTCGTATGGATAGTCCCAAGGACGATGTAATCTAGAGAGGTCAATGTGAAATCTGAGCAATTATTAATTCAATTTAAATAGAAAACAGACAATCTTCAGGATCCATTGGTTAAACCTTAAAGTTGTCTATCGAAATTGAATATATATATATATATATATATATATACACACACGAACACACACACACATATATATATATATATATATATATATATATATATATATATATATATATATATATATATATATATGTAGGGTGTTTATAAACGTTCTTACATATAAGCATTCTTTGTTTTTACTTCCAAAATTTAGCAAAGAAATTTTCTTTAATTCTTTATCACGGAAGACTTCGAATCAGACAGTTCGTAATTTGTTTATAAATGTTTGACATTAACTTAACTTATTGCCCTTCAGCCTGTTTTTGCTTTTCCAAAAAGAGTTCGCCGCCTGCTTTCGTCCCGCCGAAAAAGAGAGATGGAACGCATTATCTGTAATTTGGTTACAAGTCTTCTGACACAAGTAAACATTTTTCCTGTTTACAGACAGACTAAGAGAAATTCGAAAGCCATAAGAAGAGGTAAACAAAAAAAAAAAAATGTTTAAAAAAAAAAAAAGAACTTCAATAGTCTTTCGAACAATTATCACGAAGTGGAAGAAACTTGTTACGGATTTACGATAAATTTTCTTTTCAAAAATGTCAAGCTCCTCAAAGAATGACCGCGAAACGAAACGTTTTTTTTTTTTTTTAATTTTATTTATTTATTTTCTTTTTAAACTAATGGCAGCTTATTAGGCCCTAAAGACAAAGAAGTTTGTCAGACCTCGGGTATCGATGCTATTACACGAGTAATTTGCTCGGCGAATTTCGCTACTGCTGCTGTCGTCATGGTTAGTTAATAAATGTAGCTAAGTCGGGCACAGGGAAGAAAATATAAGGCATTCATTTATCTGTTCATTTTACAGTTATCTTGATCTATCCACTATCCTTCTCCTCATCCTTTCCTCTATCACTCTTATCTGATCTTGCTCCAAATCCACTTTAACACCTAACGTACCAGTGGCCTCCCGCCTTGCTTGGGGTGAAATGCTTAAAAAAAAGTTATTTTTTTTTAATTTTACTTTATCTCTTTTAAAAGAACGTTCAACACCCACTCATGTTAAGGCTTTACTCTATAATGTTTTAAGGATGAGGATGCAGGAATTGAATATGAAGATGCAGGAATTGAATATGAGGATAAGTAAGATAGATATCGTTTGACATTTGACGTGAAGAAGTTATTAAGATTGTATTGTTTATGGAAGAATCTTTTCAAGAATTTGTTCTACAAGGTTACAGTTCTAGGAAAGAATCTGTCAGAGTGGAACTTACTAAAGAAACACTAAATGAATGGAGTTTATTTCTACCGTGACAATGGCAAGTCGAGTCCTTGCTGTGAAAATCTGACCCGGTGGGCAAAAGGAATGTAACTTGCGAGAATATTTTCTGTAGTAATATAGTTGTAATATACGTAATATATGTAATACTTGTGATATACCGTAATTCCCCACGTATAATACGCATTTTTTTTCTAAAAATAAGCAAAATCAGAGGTGCGTATTATGCACAGCTACAAAAAATATTTTTTAAAATTGCCGCAAAATAAAATAAGTATTATCATAAAACTAAATTGGAATAATATTATTCTGTTTAAAAACCTTTTTTAAATAATAGTAGGAAACACTGGCTGTAATGGAACTGGAGAAGTACAATTTATAGGGTTTTATTACCAAACAAGGGGTGCGTATTATGCATGAGTAGAAATATTTTCCCATACTTGCATTAAATTTTAAGTGTGCGGATTATGGATGAAGGCATATCATACATGGGGAATTACGGTAATTGTAATGTATAGTAATATAGTATTATATTTTCTATAGTAATATAGTAATATATTTTCTATAGTAATATGACAATATATTCTATAGTAATATATTTTCTATAGTAATATCGACAGTGTTGTGAAAGGGGAGCAAAATTCAGTCTGGGACGTAAGAATTGTATCACCCACAAGGTACCTGTAATCAGTTTTGTTAAACTGTCAATATTTGATTCGAGACATTTGTTTTTACGGCTTATCAACACTTCGTAGGTTATTTAAAATCATAAAATATTTTTAGATTCTAATTTTTTTTTCTTTTGCACATAATAATTTAGCAATATTGGTCTTACTAATTAACCCATAGATGGGGATGAAATAGATTCATATCTTTCGGAAGGTTATTTGCTCGAAAATAGATATAATAAACCCAACAAAATTGGAACTTCAGATAACACACACGGACATATATATATATATATATATACATTGGAATATATATATATATATATTGGAAAAATTACAAATATAATGTATGCTTGTTTTTATTATAATCCTTTTATATTCACGAATATTTTTCTGTAAGTTACAATTGAATAAGTTAAGAAATGTATTGTAACAGCGAGAATAACTTTTATTTCCCAATGAAATATTTTCACATTTACAGTGCATTTCTTGCCTTATTCAATTGTAATATCCGGAAAAATATTCATGAATATGAAAGGATTATTATAAAAATAAGCAAACATAATGTTTGTAATTTTTCAGACATGCCTAACAGAGAATTTGCTGCCGAAAAATATATATATATATATATATATATATATTGTTTGAAAAGATTACTTAACTTTTAAATATCAATATTTATCACGACATTGCAAAGCCATTGCTAAGGGAAACTGATTTTTACGAATTGACATTTAAAAGTTAAGCAAAATTTTCATATAATAACATTAACGCTCAATTTTTAATATAATTTTAATATTTTTAATTTGGAGGACTATATATAAAAAGATCTGCTGTTTCTTAAATCTGCGTGTGTGTATATATATATATATATATACACACATTATTAAATGGACAAAGTCCGACATTTATTTTTATGTTTATCGGTTGTTTTTACAGATACAAATATTTAAGTAAATGCTCTGTTTATAATAAACAGTATTAAACAACATTTACCGGCCTGAATGTCCGAGTAACCCTCATACAAAATATGAGTACTCAGACAGAAATCAAACCTGTCTCCTATACTGAACCGTCATATAACCTGACGTGACTTACCGTTTTGCCACAGAGGAGCATTCGGTTATCCAGTTCGATTTTACTATTTTCAAACACAATCCTCTATGATTTTCTCTCATACATTCATATCTACTCAATGCGTATCCAAATGTAAACATACAAAGAACGTATAAACATCAAAAATGTCTTAAAAATAATTGTCGGAAGTTGTCCATTTTATAATGTGTGACGTTATTTGTTTACATTCTTATCCATCTTTAGTCTTTCTTTCTTTCTTTATTACTATGGAACTATCTATTTATCAATCTCGCTGTGTTCATATATATATATATATATATATATATATATATATATAAAAATTTTATATATTTTGTTATTTAGACATTTCATCAGATTCTCATCCATCTTTAGTTTTTCTCGCTTTCATTCTTTTCTTTCTTTCTTCCTTCCTTTCTTTCTTTCTTTATCTATTTATTTATCTATCTATCTATCAATCTATATATATATATATATATATATATATATATATATATATGTGTGTGTGTGTGTGTGTGCGTGTGTCTATTTATCTCAATTCGTGTATATCTGTCTATCTATAGTTGTCAAAGATATATATATATATATATATATATATATATATATATATATATATATAAATTTTATATATTTTGTTATTTAGACATTTCATCAGATTCTCATCCATCTTTAGTTTTTCTCTTTCATTCTTTTCTTTCTTTCTTCCTTCCTTTCTTTCTTTCTTTATCTATTTATTTATCTATCTATCTATGCCAATCTGTTATATATATATATATATATATATATATATATATGTATGTGTGTGTGTGTGTGTGTGTGTGTGTGTGTGTCTATTTATCTCAATTCGTGTATATCTGTCTATCTATAGTTGTCAAAGATATATATATATATATATATATATATATATATATATATGATTCAATCTCAATAGAGAACATCCTATGTTTTAAAATGTAAAACTCGAAATCTTGATTAAAAGTAACGTTTTGAAACAGAGGATCTTCTGTTTCGGACTGTATCCTTTTTTTATTGAAAATAATTAAATATTAAGCTAAAAATTATTTATTTAAAATTGAAATAAAAGCTAAGAACTGAATTATAAATATCACAGTCCTTTCCTGTTATTTTAAATATATATATATATATATATATATATATATATATATATATATATATACACATATACACATCAAGTGTTCGCAACCAGCTGTAATCTTGAACTGAGCGACGTACTTCAGCAAAGTTTCGGCCCATTTAGCTCAGTACCTCTCCCCACGGTGGGCCCTCAACAGCTCGATGATGTTACGTTGCAATAGGTCTATGTTAGTTGAATATGACTCGATAGGAATTTTTGGGTAATCCATAAACTGCCTTCCACCGATTTTTCACCACAAGTCTTTATCACCTTATTCGGCTTTTTGACACCAGCACACTCCAGGTATCTCTTTAAGGAAGCAGAAAGAAAATCCTCTACAGCCAACATCAAATTCCACCAGGGTTCAGCCGTATCCTCTCTCACGGACTTCAGCCGCCAATTCTTCATACCGAAAAAGTTTTCTTTCAAGAGCCTTTTCAATCCATTCTTCGCATGCCACTGTCTCCAGATATTGCTTCTTGATATCAATTAACACTAGATTTGGTCTCAGTCCACACACAATAACATTCACTGGCAGTGTAGCATCAACCAACACTCTACACTTCCTTGAGTCCTTCAACTTGGTCTTCTGCCCTGTGTCAATCCCATCTTGCTTCAGGAAGGCAATCCTTCACAGGTCCGTCGAGGGTATACTAGCACTTCTTGCAGCTGCTGCCACGACCTGCAAAACCAAGTTATCTCTGAAGGTGTACCAGTCGTTCGGTAGCGCCTTTGGGCAGGATGACAGTATGTGGCTCAGGTTTCCATAAGCACCACATAACCGACAGGGGGTGACTCCTGCACTCCTCATCTCTTCAAATTTGCCAGTGATGCTGCCATATCATAAGCTGTCCGTATGAGTAACCTCAAATGCCCCGCACCTAGACGCCACCAATCAGACCAAAGATCTGAACACCCTCAATACCCTCCTAGTTGAGCCATCGACCCTGCTGAGTCTGCTGGACAGTCCGCACTAAACATCTCTCCTCCTCGAGCTTTCGAACTCCCTGTTCCTGTAACTTGTGTTGCTCTTGTCTACTGGCCTCTGACCAGAATCTCTCCCTCTCGACTAGACCATGTCCAGCAGGTCCCTTTCTTGTAACACCCTGAATTTCTGCCTGCTTTATCATCACTTCCACTGCTGATATCACGTCTGACACTTTACACTTTCTACCTGTGTTCACCTCCAGCACATTTTCCCGGATTACGGCATCCCATGATTCACACAGTATGGACTCGTCCACCAAAGAAGTAAAAGGTAACTGAAGGCCCCCAGAGCTGCCATATAAAGCGATCGGGGACAGAAGCAACGCACTTCCGTAAGCATTTACTGATTTTCCTCTCAAAGTTATCTAAACTCGAGAAATAATATATATATATATATATATATATATATATATATATATATATATATATATATATATATATATATATATATATATTGCAAGGAATAGATACAAATTATTTCCTAAAGGCATTATGAAAAATAAAAAAATAAGAGATGATAACACTTACAGAACAGACCAACCGGTTTCGTTCCCAAGCTCATCAGGGTCGACTGGGGACAATTTAACAATTATTGCAATATATATTAATTCACACAAACACCCTACATACAATTAAAACATTAAAAAAATGAAATGATTAATGGTATAAGGGGGGAAAAAACAGTGTATTTCAAACCGCGCGAATATGCACAGCACAAAGGGAAAAAAAAATAAATAAGAAAAAAAAATTAAAAAATAACAAAAAATATAATGTTATATTTTTTCTTATTTTTTTTAATTTTTTTTTCTTAATTTTTTTTTATTTTTCATAATGCCTTTAGGAAATAATTTGTATCAATTCCTTGCAATATTACGGTTTTGTACCTCCAACAATTATATATTATATATATATATATATATATATATATATATATATATATTAACCTGACGATCCGTTTAAGTGAAACCTAGATAGGTTTAACTGGCTCCTTAGATTTATCTTACGTAGTTGACTTTACTCATTTTGTTTTTTTTTCTTTGGACTCTGAGCTTGAATACTGGACGATTGTTTTCGCCTCAGTTTCAGTTTCTTCGTTCTTTCTTTTTTTTTTATTCCTCATTTTTACTTGGGTACTGGTTTGTTTTACTTCAAGCCCGAAATACCCAAGGTTTTTCCAAAGCGAGTACCACCATTTATATATATATATATATATATATATATATATATATATATATATATATATAAGGTGTCCATAAAGTTCCTGTGCACTTTAAAATATTTATAACTTTATTTGTATTTGCAATAGAAATAATCTGTAAAAATGTTATAAAGTTTAATGTACCTAGTTTTAAGTATAGCTAAAATAACTAATGTGATTTCAGACATTATTGTAAATCAGTTGGCGAATGTTTTCCGTGAACTTCAAAATCAAATTACCTTTTCTATTGCTAATAATGGAGGACATGTGGAAACTTAAATAAAATCTCAATAAAACATTAAAAATATAGATTTACTTCTTTCTAATCCTTTTTACAAATTATTTCTATCGCAAATACAATAATATATATATATATATATATATATATATATATATATATATATATATATATATATGATCGAAATAAAAGTATAAAATTTAATATTACAAGACATATTAAAAGTATTAAATAATAAAAAAAACAAAAAACTCAACAACAAGGGGAAGCAACCGTTTTCGCTCCCGCTCGTCAGGCTTCCACGGAGATTGAAAATTAAAACAGAGAAATGTACAGTAAGAACAGGTGGGAAAAAAAAAAATTAAACAGACACATATATATATATGTATATATATATATGTTCGTATATATGGTCAAAAAGTTGATGCCAAAGTAAGAATGGTGTTAATACACCAGAGGGTTGCAGGCAAGTGTTTGTAGTTTTCCAACTTCAAGACAAGACAGAAGAAAAATATTACGGATGAGACCGAGAACTGGTGTATCTTACTGGCTAAGAAAAATTCCCAACATGCATCAGTAAAATCTCTCTATAAATTTGTAGAGGAGATGTTATTGCAGTACTTCCTTTTGCAGGTGTATTAAGTTACAGCCAGCACCGTCTGTCTAACTCTCTTCATTAGCAGGGAGGAACCCGGACGAAGCTTTGCCGAAGGGCAAGGTTTCGTTCGGGGAGGTTATGACAGCTCTCGAACTCGCCTAGGCGGGTTCGAAGGCTATATTTTTGGCTGGGCCTGCGGGCTCGGGTGACCACGTAAAACTCGGCCTTGTGCCACATGCGACACCACGTGGGGGGAGGGGGACAGCTAAATATTTGTAGCTGTATTGAAGTAAGAGCAACCGCCGTCTGTCTAACTCTCTGCATTAGCAGGAAGGAACCCGGACAAGGCTTTGCCGAAGGGCAAGGTTTCGTTCGGGGAGGTTATGACAGCTCTCGAACTCGCCTAGGCGGGTTCTAAGGCTATATTTTTGGCCGGGCCTACGGGCTCGGAGAACCCACATTAAACTCGGCCTTGTGCCACATGCTACCCCACGTGGGGGGATAGCTAAATATCGCAGTACTTCTCTCTCTCTCTCTCTCTGTGTGTGTGTGTGTGTGTGTGTGTGTGTGTGTGTGTGTGTGTGTGCCTTGATTTGGTTTGGTTTGTTGTGTTTTACGGCTTATCAACCTCAATGGGTTATTTAATGACGACTATTTCTTTTTTCTGGTAATATTTTGTTTTGTCAAAAATCTATTTGCGGTAATATTTTTTTTTTCCTTCAAAGATGTATTGCTGGTAATATTTTTTCCAAAACGTATTATTGGCAATATTTTTTTTTCAAAACTTTGTAGCTGGTAATAGCTTTTACTTCAAAAATGTATTGCTGATAATAAGTATTCCTGATATTAAAACCCATTTTTTCGTGGTTAACTATAGCTGGGGCCGTAACAGATACTACCAAAGAGGTGGTTTGACGCTTCTGAAAACCTTCTGATCAAAGGCCTTGCTGCTGGATGTAGTTTATCGTCTTACCCAGGACGCGGATGTAGTTTATCGTCATACCCAGGACGGATATATATATATATATATATATATATATATATATATATATATATATATATAAAAACATATGTGTGGGGGCGGAGCATTTGTACAGTGGCTGGATACGGAGGAGTAGCAGAAACATCAATCGAAATTCCATATCATTTGTAGAGTTTTATTGCACCCATTTGGCTTTGACGAATTGGTTGGATTAATCTCATCTTTCTGTTGATTGGCCAAAAGTCAACACACATTGATATGGAAAATATCTTAAAATAAAACCTTCGATTTGGAAGTAAAGAAAAAAAAGTACGCCATTTTGTAAAATTTGAATCAACCGCTTTTTGCAAGAATAATGGCACTATTAGATTTGCATTCTCCTTAGATTGCGAACATTGTCTGACTTTCCGATTCAGCCGATATCACTCTTACGGATATTGATCTTTGTCCGGCAGTTAGACGATTTCCAGTCAAAAAATTCGAAAATCCTTATCGAATTAAAGAAGCCTTCTATGAATTTATTCTTGGAATGAAGAGAAACTTCATTAAAAGAATGAACGATATGCTGCCAAAAAGCCGTAATTGTATGAAGACCGAGTGAAAATAATATAAGTGAATACACCATTTTTTTATTCATTCATATTTATTGTTTTTATGTTTATATAATAACAGCTTTTCTTAAATAGAATTACAAATATAGACGATTGTTAGGATCGCCAATTTAACGCTATGTTAAACATCGCTGTTATTTTATGGCCAATTACAGTAAAATTGATAATAGAACAACCTAAATATATTTTGGTGTAAGCCAACTTATACATTTTCGTGGCTAATTGGATTGCTCGGTATTATACAGTTTCTTATATAATCTTGAGTTCGGATGTAACTTTTCGGAAAGAGCAATAACAGCTACTGGATTCGAGAAACTTACTTTCCGAAAAAAAATGTTTAAGAGAAAGATTTTATAAATTGCAATCGAAAAGAGTACTGGCTGCTCGGTCAATGAATGTCACATGTTTCCTTATAGAAAATGGTTAATATTATTATAGGGTAGTGAATGCTTGACAATCTAACCATGGTTGATGAGTGTTAAGGGGTCCACCACTTTTTATACAAGTGGACTCGCCCAGTGTGTACTTTAGGATGTTTAGAAACAATATGGTTTGCTGGGAGCCTGGCACAATAATTAATAGATTTGCAAATGTGATGTACATAGTACAAGACGATAAGTTTTCACATAGAAGACATATTGACCAATTACAAAAAAGACGGGTTGAGGAGCCAAGCTCGTCACCCACAGAAAACGACGACTCACTGGATGCAATCTTTGAAGCTTTTGAGATCCAAAGACCACAGGAAGACACAGAAATGGGAAGGTCAAACAGGAAGAGGAAATTTACCGAACCTCTGATTATTAACCATAAGAGAAAAAAAATACTAACTCGCCACAAAAGGGATCTAAGGAGGCAGGTTTTAAGGGGTCCACCCCTTTTTATACAAGTGAACTCGCCCAGTGTGTATTACTGCTGCCGGTGAATACCCGGGAGTGAAACAGTGAGAGAGTGAGAGTGCGGGATAAGCGCTTTGTCGGAGTCACAGTTGCGAGCACGTAGACTCAGAAGGAAGTCATGCTTCGATACTGAATTTCCCAGACTGTATATATATTATTATTGCTACTAACCGCATTTCTGGATCTACTAACCGTATTGCCAATTGTATTATTACGTCAATACATTTCTTTGCTATATTTCATTCCTGCGTTTGGTATTCATTTGAGACCGGATTCCATCCCGGAATCCACAACAAGGAGAAAATTAGAAGCAGGAGAAATGTGGTTCTTCAAAAGGATGCTGAAAATTCTATGGACTGAGAAGGTGAGCAATAATGGAGTCTTAAACAATTTGGCAACAAAAAGAAAAAGAAATCTGCTCAGAATCAGGGAAAGAGAGTTGGAATTTCTTGGATTCATAATGAAGAAGGAAAGCTTGGAAAACTTAATAGTCACGTGTCATATTGAAGCCAAGAGCGACAGGGGAAGGCAGCGGGCAATGTACCTGACGTTCTTGTGTGAAGGAATGGCGGAACGGAAGACGGGATCCATGGCAAACAGAGAAAGAATGTTAAGAGCCATGGTGAGGGACGCGGAGCATTTTGGAAAGAATTTCCATGTGCTGTGTTCAAAATTCAAGTTCATTTTTACTCCATACTTCAAGATATTACTGTATGGAATTTGAATGTTTTTTGTAAATAGAATGACTTTTTTTTTCTTAAAATTTCCCATAAAATTAAAATTATTTTTGAAAAACTCCTGCAAACAAACAAAAAATATTATTGAATTCCCCATGGCTGTTTTTTTGTTTTTTATTATTATTATTTTAGTCGGTTGATTTTTTATCGTCATATAAACACCTCTATGGGTTATTAATGACAAAATCAAAATATTTTCTACGTAAATTTATTATTTGGGGGTATAATAATGGTTTTTAGTTATACAAATTTCACTAATTAACCCATAGCTGGGGAGAGAAGAGCTAGATTCTTATCTTTCTGAAGGGCATTTGGTTGTAAGTAAATATAACGAACGCAACTGGAATTAGAAACCGGCTCTCCGATTAAAAAATTCCGAGCTATTATACGACCCGCAAATCCAAGCTTAGAGTGCGTGGTATACGCAAGCGATCACCCATCCAAGTATTGACCAGGCTCGACGTGGTTTAACTTCGGTGATCTTACGAGAACCGATGTTTCAAAGTGACGTGGACATAAACCTTTTTATATTATGATAGCGCATGAAGATAATGGTAGATAATTTGTATTATTCTAAGTTAAAAATGGAAGCAGTATAAGTCTTTTCATATCAGGCATGTTGATAATGACGGTATAATTCCGATGCTCTATCTAAATGCCACCGTAATTCTAGTCCAATAGTTAATTTATCACTTCCGAAACTCTCTTCTGATCCCTTGCTTCCCTGTCGCCTACAATATTCAAAAATTGAAATGCTACGTCAATCTCCATCATCTGTCTTCCGGAACTTTTATTGACCTTTCACCACATTAAATTCTTCTAATTCTGTTCAATTCTTAGTAACCCCTTATGTCTTAGAGCCATTATCTCTTTGCTTGCAGTGAAATGATTTAAAAGAATTATCCTAATTTAAGAATTATCAAATTGAAGATTCTATCAAGGCATTAAAGTTACAGAAAGACGTTTACAATAAGGAATGGAACAAGGAGAGACGTCTGAGGACAGCTAGCACCGGCTGCAAATTTGTGGCCCTCTGTGAGTGGTAACGAAGTTCGAATCGTTTGAACCTAGTGTGTAGACTATCACGAGTGGATCGCTCTGTGTTCTACATCTTCTTATATCATTTTGAATTGGAGTGTAATAATTACATAGGCAAGATACACCCCAAATAATGACATACTCAAGATACTGACATTATACACCACAACAAATAAAAGTGTCGGACGGAAAACCCCATCAATACCGGAAAGAGCAATAACAGTTACTGGACTCGAGAAATCTGCTTTCATAAAAAAAAAATATTGTACGAGAAAGACTTTATAAATTGCAATCGAAAACAGAACTAGCTGCTTAATCAATGAATAACACATGTTTCTTTATTTATTTGATATACTGATCTTAAGGATATGACTGGATAGCGACATTTTGATCCTCGATTAAGCAACACAGATACTATACTGATCCTTGTCCATAAAACAAATGGTCTTGCCTCGCGAAAAATGGTTCAGCAGTATCGAGTTTAGATGTGAAGAAGATTTAATAATTGTGGAGATACATTATCTGCATGTATATTATTCTGAATATATATTTTCTGCATAATCGATATCCACTGACTTTCCAATTACTCTTTTTTTTTGTTCTCACTCCATAGCAATGTTTTTGTTTTCTAATTCTTCAACAATTAGTGACCCCTTGTATCATATTGGTCTGACAGCCTTCGTTGTATGAATTCTATTATATATATATATATATATATATATATATATATATATATATATATATATATGTATATATATATATATATGTCCTGGGTATGTCGATAAACTACATCCGAGAGCAAGTCTTCTCATCGGGATATTGGAGGATTTGAGGAGCATGGAATCAACTTTTAATTGCTGTTGTTCGCCCAGTGGTAGCACTTGTTAGGGTCCCACCTATGGGCAAATAGTGCCTACAAGGGCAGACCAGGCTCTTTAGTGTTATAGAACAAGACTGGTCTAGGAGATGGAAAACTCTCACACAAAAAGCCTAACGTCTATTATCTGTTTCGTCTGTGGCATTTATTTGCACTGACTGAGTGTATCAATGGTCCAGAAAAGTGTGGATGGTTCTGCACATGTAGTGTCGCAACATAATTCCCATTATGCAGCGATTTTTAATTTTTTTTTAAAATATTTGATGTTGCTTCTGCTGCATGTCTACAGATCAGTGATAAAATCCAAAAAGTTATTGGCCTTGATCTGGCGTCCAGGCTTCAGTCACTTTCCCACCGCCGTAATCTTTCCAACGAAGACCATTAGATCTGAACTAAGCATTTCTTATTAAAAATAAACAAAAAAAACAAGAATGTAAAGAATATATTTAAGTTACACTTACGCCTAAACCCACATTTCAAAACCTGATAAAATCTTCAAACTTTAGAATCATGAGAAGAAGGGTTTTTCTTCTCTCAGAACCCACTCGTAGACTACCTTTAACGAATGAAGAAAAGAAAACGCCAAGGAACGTGTTTTAAAGAAAACGTTAAAACCATCTATCTTAAATATATATAAGTCTAGCATCAGTCCATGCTTAAAATATTGCTGCCATATATGGTCCGATGCTCCTGCTGGTCATCTAGAGCTCCTTGCTAAGATCAAAGCAGAGTCAGAAATATTATTAGCCTTGATCTGTCGTCCCGGCTTCAGTCGCATTCACGCCGCTGTGTAGTTGACTTTTTCGGCCTTTTCTATAAATACTCTCAGGGTAATTGATTGGATGAGTTCTTCGCTACGAGATTTAGGATTTATGAATTTAAACCCGGTAAAAGTCTGGCGACTAGTTCTCGCCAATTTAGAGATAAGCTGGCTAGATGTAACCGTAAGTTCTATGCTAGCAGTTTCTTTTCTCACACCTCTCGCTTGTGAAATTCTCTTTCGGCTCCCTGCTTTCCAATCAACTTTAATTTAAAAAAAAATAAATGTAATGTCAATCGCTATCCACTGCCTTCCCGATTAATCTTTTATCGTTTTCACGCCATTACTAATTATTCAACAATCAGTAACCCCTTGTATATTATTGGCGTGATAGCCTTCCTTGGGTTGAACTCGATTAATATATATATATATATATATATATATGTGTGTGTGTGTGTGTGTGTGTGTGTGTGTGTGTGTGTGTGTGTGTGAAAAAGAGGACAAATGGCGTATAATTCCAACATTCGTAACATTTAATTCAAAAGATACTTCAACAATACAAATACAATTTTTATATTTTTTCTCGAAAGAAAGAAACTATTTTACTTTTAAAATTAAATTAATCGTTCACTCGTCATTAGTTTACCATCGCCCGAAGAGTCACATTTGTATTGTTGAAACACAATTGCCATTATGCAGCGAGTTTTAACATATATTTTTTTAAATATTTATTGTTTCTCCTGCTGTATGTGTAGAGATCAGTCATCAAATCCAAAGTAGATTCAGCTATATTATTGGCCTTGATCTGGCATCCCGGCTTCAGTCACTTTCCCACAGACGTAAATTTACCTTTTTGTACCTTTCCTATAAATACCCTTAAGGTAATTGTTTGTGTGTTCTCTTCTTTACGAGATTTCGAATTTATGAATTTAAACTGAGGACAAGACTGGTGACGAGGTCTCACCAATTTAAAGATAAGCTGGCTAGATATAGCCGTATGTTCTCTGCTAACAGTTTCTTTTCTCGCACTTCTCGCTTGTGGAATTCCTTTCCAGCTCCATGCTTTCCAGCCAAATTTAATCTTCCAAAAATTTAAATGCAATGTCGATCGGTTTTTTATTGTCCTGCTGACTGCCCTTTTTTGTTCTTGCCCCTTAGTAGTGTTACTGTTTTCTAATTCTTCCACGCTCAATGTCCCATTGTGTCTTAGTGGCTTTATTGCCTTGTTTAGGATGAATTTGACTTTAAAAAAAATATCTGACGTAATCTCATATCATTTTTTATTGACAGTTTCATATCATTAAACAAGATGAGATCGTCATGATGTCTACGGATTTATATCCCTGGAATCTACGGGCATCTTTTCTTTACATTTTTTTTTCTACATACTGTCAGCTCAGTGAAAGTAGCCTTTTTAGGTTGAGTGTCGAGGTTATTTTATGGTTGGCCATCAAAACTTCGAACTGGGCAGTATATATGCGCTTGATTATTTTTTCCCCGTTTGCTTTCTAAGAACGAAAGTCAGGCTCAAGAAAAGAACCTCGAATTCAGCCGGCTAAAATCGATTTTCTCATCAGTTGGCTAAGAGAACCGATTCTCTTGTGGCATCCCGGAACAAATGTCGTTACCGTGTTACACAGTACATCGTCTGCTATTTTTCTTTCAGTTCGATCAGTCGCGTTTGATTTTGTTTTCGTGGGTCTCATATGTAAATTTACGCACAGCAAAATTGCTAGCTACTGTCCTCGTGATTACTCTTTTCTCTTCGCGCTCATTATTAATGCTTCTGTTCCCCATTCGTCTACACTCAGAAACTCTTTTTGTCTTAGTGGCTTTACTCCCTTGCTTGGGATGAAATCTATTAAATATACATATATACATGAACGGACGCCGCGAATACACATAAAGACATCACATCACATACAAATATCACCAAAACGAATGTTAGGGATTTTAGTTAAATATAAAATACCATACAGCAAAGGAAAAGTTTTATAACAAAAGACAGTGGAAAGGTTATGGTCACGGGGTTTGGAATCAACGTTCCGGGTTCAAACTCCTTGTCCGCCTTGAATCTATCCTCAACTGTGACTTGAATTTCTATCCTCAACTGTGACATATTTTAGCGTATCATGAACACACTAGCCTTGGATGCAAACCACTCTAGAAGGATTTGGTTTGATTTCTGTATAACAACCTATCATCCACTAGAGGCTTAATTTTTTTAAGTATTTGACCGTAAGCAAGGCAGGAGTGCCACTAGCACGCAAGGGGTTACAGTGGGTGAGAGCAAGAGTAAAAAAGGGTGTTTGAGGAAAGGATATAGAGAAGGATGGGGATCAAGATCAAGGCATCAGAAGATGTCAATTGACATCAGATTTGAATATTTGAAGATTATAGTTATCAGGGAAGCAAGTAAGAGGAAAGGAGTTCCACTGCTGGGAAGTGAGAGAGAAGAAGCATTTGGAATAGAAGAGGCGGTTACATTTAACTGTTTCGACAGTAAAAGGTTGGGATCAATATGTCAACCTAGTAGCACGTTTAGATTCATGCTGTTAGGGGCACCAGTGAAAATAGCTCGCCGGAGCAGTTGCCATGAAAATATTTGTAGAAAAGACAGAGGGAAGTACATCACGTCTGTGAGAAAGTGACTGGAGTCGAGATGCCAGATCAACACCTAAAACATTGCGTATCTATCTTTAGATATTGTCGAAAGAATTTGTCATACTGTGTTATCAAGTACCTGCAGAAAAAAGTGTTCAGTCCCAAGGGCATTTTTGCTGACATAGTTTCTTACATTACGTCTGCGAGAAAGTGACTTTAGACGAG